TCCATCCATCCATCCATCCATCCATCCATCTATCTATCTATCCATCTATCTATCTATCCATCCATCTATCTATCAATCATCCATCCATCCATCCATCCATCCATCTATCTACCCATCTATCCATCCATCATCTATCTATCTACCCATCCATCCATCCATCCATCCATCCATCTATCTATCTAGCCATCCATCCATCCATCCATCCATCTATCCATCTATGTATCCATCCATCCATCCATCCATCCATCTATGTATCCATCCATGCATCCATCCATCCATCCATGCATCCATCCATCCATCCATCTATCCATGCATCTATCTATCTATCTATCCTATCCATCTATCTATCCATCCATCCATCCATCATCCATCTATCCATCCATCATCCATCCATCCATCTCTCTACCCATCTACCCATCCATCCATCCATCCATCTATCCATCTATGTATCCATCCATCTATCTACCTATCTACCCATCCATCCATCTATCCATCTATCTATCCATCTATCCATCCCTCCATCCATCCATCCATCTATCTATCTATCTATCTATCTATCTATGTATCCATCCATCCATCCACCCATCCACCCATCCATCCATCCATCTTCTATCCATCCATCCATCCATCCACCCACCCACCCATCCATCTATCTATCTATCTATCTATCTATCTATCTATCTATCTATCTATCTATCTATCCATCCATCCATCCATCCATCCATCCATCCATGCATCTATCTATCTATATTGCAAAATATATTTAAGCAGTATATATATATACAGTATATATATCTCCTCACTATGTCTCTCTCCCTCTCTCTATATATATATATCTTAGAATATATGGCTTAATAATTTTATCTAAAAAAAGAACGTTATATTTTATATTTACAATAGAATAAATCTAGAAGTTCTAGAAGAGTCTCAAATCTAAAATTCCTGGACATTTCAATGTTTCCCTGTTTATAGTTATATATGCGAGAGAGCAAAATCTGAATCCTTTGATGTCACATTCACAATTTACATTATAAAATATAAATATAGATATAAATATAATAGCAATCTATTTTATAAAATCATATTATATAAAAACAAAAAGTATATTGTATGCTTCATATATATTTACTTTTATTTTTTATAATATAACTTTATAAAATATATAATTTTAATTATCTATCTATCTATCTATCTATCTATCTATCTATCTATATATATATATATACTTTTCCCTGTTTATAATTACATATCCGAGAAAAAAATCTAAATCCTTTAATGTCACATGTCGCTGCGCGTGACGTCACGGCGAGGGGCGTGTCTAGTGAATTATTATTATTACATTCATTCATAGCTTACACTTAAAAAGAGCAGGCGGCGGCAAAACGGTGCGTCTCCTGAAGTCCAACAGTAATCCACACCGTCCATATCTCACGAAGAGACGTAGAGGTAAGATTCCAGAATGAATCAGCTGTATTTTAAGCAGCTGCGTGAGACTGAACAGGGAGCTCGTGCAGCGGTGAAGTAGGTGAAAGGTATATTCTGGTATAATCTTGTCCTTATGGTATGACACAGAAAACACAAGCTGATTCCGGACGGCAACGCATGTTTTCTCTGAATAAAACAAGAAAGGATGTCATTTATGTTTTTATGTATAGAAATGCATGACACTCAAGAGCACCTGGTGAATGCTGCACAACGAGGTCAGGGCATCTCTACAAAGCTGAAAGCACGTTAGAAGGACGTTCACTTAGTTACTGTTGTTATGTGCGCGCAACAACTGCGTTGGAATATGTTTGATTTTAGTTATTGATTGCAATGTTATCAGGGAACTTGTCAAAGTGTTTGTCCTCTTGCTACATAGTTTCGATTTGTTTCGGTGCCAAGTAAGTTTACTATTGATTGAGATTTGTTTTTTTGAATGACGCAACACAACAAATCAAATAGCTTCCCGCACATCCTAATTTGTTACAGTTAGAGATATTAATAACCGCTATGTTATCAATTTAAATCTGGAATAGGTAATCCAAAATGTAACATTATATTATTATTTACTAACCCTCATGTTAATCCACACTAAATGAGGTAGTATGCAGTATGACAGCATGCGGTCACTTTCACTGTAAGGAAAAACAATGCAGTAAAAATGAATGCAATTCCCTAAATTCTGGCTAACGTGTCATTTTGTGTTCCACAGAATAAAAATAGTCTTACGGGCTTGGAATAGCGTTAGTATGACCAAATTATGAATTTTCATATTTTGGTGAGCTGTCCCTTTAATTTAATAGTTCGCTCGTAGAGCAGGAACTATGCAACTAGATATACAAACATGTGTTCCTATTTCTATTGTTTGATCAAATAACTCGGTACACGTTGCGGAATATTTAATACCAGCTTATTAAAACATATTGAGCTATAATGGCGTAGTGCAGCATGTAACATCAACATAGTGCCGTGACCTTTCGCCTAGTTTCCATCTGCACCGGTGCGTCACGTGATCACCGCTGTTGTTGTTG